CTAAACTTTGACATATACCAGTACCAGATAAGCCAAATAGTCACAATACAATATGGTCAAATTAATTCATTGTTTCAATTTTTTTTTTTATCAGAAAATGGTATAATTTCATATAAATAAGGGTCTATCAGCCCTAAATTCCAAAACTGAGGGGAAAATGTGTGGTAATGGGTTGTACTGAAGTAGAACTAAAGGTGTAACACAAAATTGATTCACATTTTATACTTTATGCGTTAAATATCAGACAAGCCAGATGGGGTCATTTTTGACCCCAGAGGGTACAAGGTGCATAGTAATCGGGAGGACATTACGAGGGCTAGAGCACCATTGTGTTCTTTTTAACCAAATATCTTGCAGAGGGGCGTGGGGAGTGTCTCCTTATTTTCATCTAAAGTAACAGACAGAGAATCAGCACTTTTTAAACAGGGCTGAAACAGAGGGGTTTATGGGATGCTACAATGCATGATCTGTTTGGTATTTGGAGCAAAACACTTCAGAGACATGTTTTTTATATATCTGAGACCTATAATATATTGATGAAAAAGAGTATAATAGGAGACCTTTATAGATGGGGGCCAGGCATCACAAATTGCACCTTCACCAACCTTTTTGTGCGATCAATGTAGACGGAAGGAAGGACGGACAGAAGGGAGGACAGACAGAAAGACGGACGGACCTACGGACAGTCCGTCTCTGGACTCCTCCCAGGTCAGACCTCACAGGCTGTATTCTAATTGCAGGACTCTTCTGCAGCCGAGCACATTTTGTATTGACCTACTGAAGGATTTATCTCAAAGTGGATCTTTCCCGTCATTAGCCTCAAGCAAAGCCTCCCTATCAGCAGCAGTAGAGAGTAAATTCTTGATCCTCCAAAGTAATGGACCTCCACAGCCATGGAATTGCAGTATGCAATAAAAGGTATGCTGGCCCATTAGTCTTCTATGCAACAGCCTGGCTAATGAACTAAGGCTACCAGAAACGTAAAAAAGAAAGAAAGACACCAACGAGGAAAACTCCCTGAGTCAATACCATAGAGAGAGAGGGAGGGAGAGCATTAATACCAGTGTCTGTGTGAACTGCAGACAACAGCCAAATTGTTTTAGATTGACAACCATGTAGGTGAGAGATGCTTTATGTTTAGATGTATTATAGAATAGAGCAAAGGAAGACGATTTATGGTTTTGTGAAAAATGATTACAACAAACGGGAAAGAAATGTAAGTTTACATATTTGCAGCAATAGCTGTTCAATTTTTCATGAAATAATAAAGTAGGGTATATGTGTTTCCTCCAGTCCTGACAAATTGACAAATCACTTTCCATTTACAGGTGACAAATTGCTTTCCATTTCTACCGTGTGTGTGTGTGTGTGTGTTTCATATAAGGGCCTCCACTTCCAGTCTTCAAATGCTCACATTTTCCCCAACAAAGCCTGAGGAATTGTGTCAGGTGTGCACTCTAAAATTGAGCACACACTGTGCTGTGATGAAGAAACATCATAATTAACATCTCAAATACCATTTCAAGTGTGTGCATTTGAGATTTCCTCCGCTACTTTGTGGGGAAATTGCTGTGTTTCGCTGTCTGTTAACCGACCAAGAGAGTGAGCAAATTAAGCGGTGATGTTTTCCTTCTGCAAAACTGGGTTAAACATGGGGGTCGCTGTGTTCTGCGATAAGCGTGGATCTTGCAACCATTTGCACTTTTCTTTATGCCCTTCTAAAATTAGAGAAGCTAGTCATCCAGGAGACTTTACATCGAGTAGTCTGAATGGTTGGGAAATAAGACCTAATGACTTTTGCAGCTTAACACACACATGTGAGGTACAATGCTCATTGCTGTCTCTCACACACACACACACGCACGCACACACACACACACACACACACACACACACACAGTATACACACATACACACACACACAGACAATGAAGGAAGTAATACCTTCAGGGGGTTGCTATTAAGATGGTTAATCCATGCGCCTCAAGAGGACCAGGATAAAATATTCCTGGAGGAAGCTTTTCACAACAAGCTCCTAGGATCAAGTGCATGAATAAATTACAGGCATAATTAAAGGAAATGTCAAATGGCTGCTGTATGGAGCATTATTAACGATGCCCTGGCTATGTTAAAGGAACCTTCACCTGAAATGAGAATGATCAATGTAGGTTTAATGGGGCTCCTCGTATAGACTGAGGAATCCCAGAATGTATGGTAATACCACAGTCTATGGGTAATACATTTAGGCTTCTCTGAGGCCAAGTACACATATTGGCCTGGTGGTAATATACACAAGGGTGACATGTATTGACTTAGAGGAAGAGTCAGACAGACAGAACAAGAGAGACAAAAGGAAGGAAGGCCAGTTGAAAGTTTGAGAGTACGAATGAGAAATGGAGGAAGAGACTTGGAGAGCAGATTCTTTCCAGTCTCGTCATGGGAAATACATCCTTTCACCATGAACTAAAGCTGTCAGCGGATGCTTATCAAAAACAGGGAAATGTCAGCCTTCTGCAACTCAGCAGCAACCCAATTTATTTCAGTTGGCGAAAGCAGTTTTTAATTATAGTCAACTCCAGTAAAATGTCTTTATAGAGCCCAAAATCTCCAATTTGTCTCGGAGAACATGAAAATCTATTGTACAAGATACAAAATTATTTACTTTTTCCTTGATCCTCCATTAAGATATGAGGTGCTGAGGAAATCTTTAAGTAAATAATGAAAGAGATTGTATATAATTTAGTAAATATTAACAATAAGAGTTTTAGGCAAAACGTTGAAGTGTTCGGAATAAAGTGGATCAAATAATCTCAGGTGAAACATCACACTCCTGTAACAAACAGTCAGGTGCTAGCATAAACATGTTTTTATTATTTTTTAAACGGACCTATTTGGCTTGTCATTGCACCAAAAGCACAGATGTTGGTAACAGCATTAATTACAGCTCATTTCTATTTAATACCAGGATCCTGAAACTCAAGCTGCTAAATTGAATTCAGCTGCCATTCTTTTTATTATGTACCTCCATGTCTTCCCTACTGTGACATGTCAAATGTTCAGTGAAAGGGCCAATTAGAAAGGGAGACATGTCACCAACATTTATTTCGTCAATTTGTATTTGTGGGTTTTAACCACAGGTACTTGCTCCTTTACATTTCCATAACAACCAGGCACATGTGTGTTGTGCAGTGAGTTGCACATTGAAAAACAGGTGCAGTTGTACCCACAACACTTCCCACTCCTCCAATCAGAAAACTATTTTGAGTGATGTCACTCAGCCCACACAGCTAGCACCCAAAGAAGAACCCACACTCACACATTTGTAAGTAATTTGGAAACCCAACTAGGCAGCTCTATGTTTTCAGCCACTTGCAGCTCATTATATTGGTCGCCTGCGTGTATGCTTCATTTCGGATGCCTCTCACTGACCAAACATATTGTAACGGGCAGCCACTCCTAGCTCATAAACTCACTCAAGCTGATGAGTTCATGTTGCTTGTCTGTGTGAAATGAACAGCTCGCTGAAGTAAACAAGTGACTGGTTGAGGGGAGACCCAGAACCAATTCTCTCAGGAGTTAGTTTTAGGACCCCTAGTGGTCAGTATCCCATGCTTTAAAACGGTCCAAAATAATCCAAGCAAATAATGATACCTTTCCTATACATGATATGATATTGATCTGTCTTTCTGTTGGTGTCCCTGTCGTAAAGACAAACTGATCACTTTCCATTTTCTTTAGATGTACCAATAACACAGGACACACTGCATTTGTTTCCAAAGAAACTGCGCAATCATACTGTAGGCCATGGAAACATATTTTCTGTCCGTTTATTTTCCCAACCCAGCAGTATTAATAATTAGGCAGGTTTTGTTACTTACTGAACTAGCTCAATAATAAGAACGTTTTTTTTTTTATCAAACTTGCTTCTTTGCCTCCTATGCCAGGGCTATTTTGCCGGGTAGAGTTTCCACTGTTTACATTACTCTGCCTATGGTATAAAACAAACATGTTATGTATTGCTTTTTTTGTTGTTGTTAGTATTAATTAAATCTGTCCTTTTGCAGTAAATGTTCATTTTTCTAAAATGATATATATATTTTTTACCACAAACCATGTAGATATACAGAAGATCCAAGTGATGCTTCTGCTTTTCAGAAAAACTGATAAATCACCCTTAGTGAAAAAAAATCATCCTAACTATTATACGTCATGTTTTAAGTTATATTACATCCTCTTTGTATTAACTCAATTAATCAATCAAAGTTTATTTATTGCCCAATATCAAACATTTTACATTTGTCTCAGTGGACTTAACAGTTTATACCAAACACAAATATGACACCCTCTGTCCTTGGACCTTCACATTGGGCAGGAAAAACTCCCAAAGAGACCCCACAGTTAATGGGGAAAACATGGAAGAAACCTCGGGGAGAGCAATAGAGGAGAGATCCCTCTCCCAGGATGGACAGACGTGCAATAGGTGACATTTGTAAATCAAACAGATAACACATTTACAACAGTCCAAATGCTATAAATATGTGTCTATAAATAAGTATACAAGAAGATGGACCACAGCAACAGGCACAGCCACGACTTAGCTATAGCCTTTGTCTACGGCATGTGTGGCACAAGGACCTTAAATCTTTAAAAATAAATATGCAGCTTTGTGCTTATGTCAAAACCTGGGAGCCAGTTAACCCTGATAGATATTGAGTCGTGGAAGCTCACAGTTTGTTTGTCATATCGTGGGTTGTCGCAGGGGGGCGCAGTTCCCCTCCAGGTGCGCCTTCCTTCCTCCCGCACCTTCCCATCCGAGCGCTGCTGCTTGTGGCTGCTCCTTCGCACAGCCCACTTCTTCTTCTTCTTCTTCTTCTTCTTCTTCTTCTTCTTTCTTCTTCTTCTTCTTCTTCTTCTTCTTCTTCTTCTTCTTCTTCTTCTTCTTCTTCTTCTTCTTCTTCTTCTTCTTCTTCTTCTTCTTCTACTTCTTCTTCTTCTTCTTCTTCTTATTATTCTTCTTCTTCTTCTTCTTCTTGTTCGCAGGGGGAGCTGACTTGATGCGCATAATAAATAATCTCTGCAAGATTCCCTCCAAGCCCAAATTCAGACCTATACGCGTGTTGGATTTGAGAGCGCAAACACAGGCGAGAGTCGAGCCTCTTAACTGGGGATGTTTCAAATGTGATTCAGCACGGCAAACAACGTGGGTGTTGTGTGTGTGTGTGTGTGTGTGTGTGTGTGTGTGTGTGTGTGTGTGTGTGTGTGTGTGTGTGTGTGTGTGTGTATAGATATATGTGTGTGTGTGTGTGTTTTTTTAGTGGGGAGTGGAGAAAGAGGAGAGCAGCGATATGAAACGCGGGTGTTTATGCCTCCTGCATTACCCGTTATCTCTGACTGACCACCGGCTCAATTTTTCACCTGTATGAACGACCTTGCGATTGTGACCGATTTTTCCCCCCTAAAAAAAGGCTTTCCATGGAGGATCAATCTGTCGCTTTTTCCGTGAGGGCTGAATTTGGTTCCTGCTGGTCTCAAGAAATTTCAAGATAAGAGGTAAGACAACAAATGATTACCCCTTGAGCGCGCTTGACAATTGGGAACGTGCACAAATACGGAACAGCTAAATTATTTACACAGTGATATTTATATGCTAAAATATTAATACATCCTAACAGGCTCACATGTCGGCCTGTTTTGGCTGCTGTCCCGAATTTGTTCATCAGTTTCTAATGCCATTTATTTGATAATAATTGTTTAGGCTGGAGTAACGAGACGTGCCCTCCCAACTGCAGCCAATTCCTCCACAGTGTCTGGTTCTGGAGGGGCATTCATTCATACACAGACACATTGGGGTTTGTTATAACTAGGGAGTTGTTTTTGTGCCTTTCTTTGACCAACTGATGTATAGATGCTGTACTCACATATAGTTGTTGTAGCCTCTAACTGCTCCTGTGGTTCCTACCTGGTGTGGTGCCACACTGCAGCTCCACTTCACCTCACCCTCTGAAATGTGTTGCGACAGGCCACTAAAACATTTTTTGAGAGTAACCAGCCTTGGGTGGAATTGCATGCCTGGTGCTTGTGTGCACAAAAAGACATCATAAAGGTATCCAGGTGTTACCAAGGACCCTCTTTCAAAGGCATGAAGGTAAAAAATACCCTCAGAAAACCTTGATAAATGTCCCGGCTATGATTGGCTGTAAGCCTCTAGAGATACAGCAACATTCAGCAGGTAATTGCATACTGTATGCCACAATGTCAGCTGGAATATCTGTGATGAATGCAGCGAAGGCCTTCAAAGTAAGTACACTCCCACTGTGCCAGTTGGACTATTTGTTCAACCAGCGTGTTACTTGGATGCAGGCATAGTGTGATGGAGGTGGTAGATATCAGGATTTTACATTATTTAACCCAGTGGTGTCTAGGAAGCCTCAGTGATTGAGAGTGATTCACCCCGTAAACCCTTTCTCACCACCTTCTATCACAGTCATCGGTAGCACCATTATCCATGATGAATGCAAGCTGTGAGTGTGTTTGCCTCATGTTCAGATCTGTGTGTTTACTGTGCGTGTGAAAAGTATTATACAGTGTGTACATGTGAAGCACTGAGCTATCAGCTCTGTGTCATATAACTGACAGAATCTGAATTTATTTTGCATTTGTAAATTATGTATTAGATCTGCATAAGGAAAAAAGGAACACGTTGCATCAGTTGTTCCAGGGTGCCATCCTTGACAAAACTCCATTATAAATGCAAACCAACATGCCAAGTCGACAGTAGTGTAATACCCACTGTACCTTCCACACACACCAATATTCAGTCCTGAGGTGCCAGCACTTTGCACACCGTGGGCCTATCACTGAGGTATGGCATGCAGGACTCGTCTTGAGAGGAAGCGTACCAATCCAATTGTGCAGACTTTCAGGCGAAGAAAAAGGACAGCAAACATGAAAGGTAGGGAAGAAAAAATTCTGGCTGAGACCCCACGTGCCTGATTTGACATCCAGGCAGCTGACAAACAATTAGAGCCTATATAAGTAGCTCTCTGAACCAGGCTCGCCCCGGGATTAAGCCACAAATGAGCCGCACATCACGGCTTATGTTTCCTAAATGGAAAGCGAGTGCATGTGTGTGTGTGCGTGTGGAGGCAGGGTGTTATGCGTGTTGAACACGGCGAGAAAGTGAGTTTGGAGTGTAGGTGTATGTGGGCTGTGTGACATTTAGCAGATTGGTGTTATTACCAGTCTCTGGCCTTAATATATCTTGAACATCTCTCGAAGAAATTTGTGATTCTGTGTGTGCAGACCTTCGTATTGCTGTTAATATGTAGGTACACGCTATTGTACAACCATCTGCCTATACCCAACACACGTGAATATGTGTAACTGCTCACTTTACTGCTGTGATATTGCCGGTTCTCCGTTGTATGTATGTTTGACATTTCATAATTGCATCATTACTCGCTCAGTTTTTGCAAGAAGCGGGTGCATCGTAATTGGCAGAACATGCTACACGCAGACAGACACTTGCCCTTGATTATGGACCTGGGTGGAATGGCTTCCTCATCAGGCTGTCTTGATTCACCCCAGCATGTGGGGAGACACATGCTGCTGCGGGTGAATCTAATTGATTGGACGGCACCCAATTCCCAGGTCCAAGTCTCCTCCGGCAGCCAGAGTGAATCTATCCAAGTGAAGGATGAGCTTAGGCGTCGGTCGCCCCCCTAATAGATTGGCATTGGCTTCTTCCCATATGCCTCTGGTATCACCCTCAGACATCTCTGGGTGCAAGTTGGCCGAAGCACAGGGCACAAAGTGACACTGCCTGGATCTTCCCCGATCAGAATTGTGAAAACGGGCTGAAGTAAAATGAGACACATCCTGCACGTAGCTGTTAGCAAAATATGCAATATTCAATAATGTTGTTGAATGGAACAAATTGCTTCCGAACATTCTTTTATTGCACAAATTGAACATGGAATGATCACAAAAGGCACATATTAGAAAAAGAGTGCTAGCTTCATTTCAAAGTGAAGTTTTCTTCTGAATTTATCTTTCAACTAATCAAAGTTCCTAGAGTGCAATATAATAATAACAACAACAATATTGTGCAGCCTTATCTTGCACCAAATGCAACATACAATTGTATCATCATTATATATTTCTACTTCTGAAATGTATACTTATCCTGTCTTCTCCTGATGGACGATTGAAAGACATCCGGTTGAAAGTGTAATGAAAATATTGGGTTTCCCAGAGTTTGGTGTTTTACAACACAAATCTTGTTTCAACAGGTCAAGCTCCCCTCTCTCGGAGAACACGAGTGCCATTTCAAAGCTTATTGGATGAAAGTCTCATTTGCCCTTGGCTGCCAAAGATGACGTTGCCATGGAAACAGCTTCTACTGTTATCAATCATCGACTGTCTGGCAGGTAAACCACCTTTTTATATGAGTAATGATTATTTCTTGTTTGGACATTTACAGTTGCTAGATGATAGCTGAATAGCCGAAAATAATGCCCGTGTCAGAGATGATAGGATGGCCCACGTTTAAAGGGGCACTCCTCAGTATTGACTTCCATTCACAACACAGACACAATACTCTCAATCCTCCTCCTCCTCACTACTCTGATAGCAACCTGATGAGAAGGCATTGTTTATTTTTCTTTTAATTATTTATTCACACAAAACACAGAGCAAAGACTATCATGACTGTTACCTAAAGATATGTTTTTTCCAAATGATATTCATCACTCAGTTAATGTGAACAAATAACAAATAAAGATTGCCCCTCTTAATCCCATGTCATGCTTTTCCGGTTATTACCCGTCCCCTTGTGTGTTATGAAGGTTATTCTGCATGTAAACGGTCTGCAGAGTCACATTACATTACATTACATTGCATTTAGCTGACGCTTTTATTCAAAGTGACTTACAATAAGTGCATTCGACCAACAAGATACAAACTTGAAGAAAACAGAATCATATAAGTACATCAGGTTTCATAGAGCCAAAACATTTCAAGTGCTACTCAACTGGCTTTAGATAAGCCAGCCCTTTGTTAGTATATAAAGTGCTTTGTTAGCAATTCACAAACCCTCAAAGTGCACCCTGTAGCGAGTAAAACTCTAACACAGAAAATACCTGTCTATGCTGCCCCAGAACGCCTCGTTGGAGATTTCTCTTTTTCCATTGTGTTCTTCCTGGGTATGGTGACGTGCCCATACCCAAATGGACCCATTGGTCCAAATGGACCAATCCGTGGAGCCGTTACGTTACGTCCGTGGATTGGTCCAAATTGACCAATCCGCGGACTTCCTCACACACACACACACACACACTCAATCTTTTCTCAGCTGCAGCTCCGCCAATTTCTCCTCCTGAGACGGCGGGATGCGGCGAGGCTGTGAGTCGGTGTGTGAGTACACACACAAACTGCCAGCCAGGCTGCGGGTGTGTGTTCGGGCTTGTTTCGGGCTGAGTTTCGCTGTGTCTCGCTGTCTCGCAGACGGCCACTGGGTTCATAGAGAGGGGGGGGGGGGGGGGGGGGGGGGGGGGGGGGGCAGGAGCTCCAACAAGCCGTTTAGGACAGAGAGTGAATACACATACTATACAGTAGAGATGCTGTATGAGAAACCAATGTGACTTTGGAAAATTGCACAATTTAAATCTATTCTAGTATACCTCAACAATGGAATTATGATCAGTAGAAATGGCCATGACATGGGACCTTTAAGTCTTATTTTAACTTATAATATACAACAATATACTAAAGCATTATTATATTTTATCAAATGGAAAATTCAGAAAATGTTTTGCTGGACAAGCAACATTTCTTCTTTTAAATTCACAGGAATGTCATCCTGTTAAAGTTATTCAGCCTTTTCTTTAGGAAGAATCTGCATTTTTGTTGCAAGATGAAATGAAAAGTATTGAGTCTCTCCCCATGTTTACTAATGTCCATCCTCCTATTATAACTGAGTGTCCTATTTCCTCCAGAAGAATGGGGGAAATGTGCAGGCCAAACTTTCCTATCAAAATGGGCACTTTTCTTCGGTTTTGCTCAGGCTGTCACTGTTTTTCTGACAGATTGTTTGGACAGTGGATCGTACCATGGTCCAAGATGGAGGATGGAGCCAGGTGACTTGTTCATTCCTGTGGACTCCATAGAAGAAGAAGCCACTCTGACCTGTGATGCTCAGGGAACGCCATCTCCTCAGTACAGGTGAGAAATCGTTCAAATGAGGGCATGTGTGAGATAAAGATCCAGCACCGTCATATGAAAGTGTTCAATTTATCTTTACTTAAACTATTACGCATTGTGAAAATCAACAATCGCAAATTTGTTATAGACATATAAATAGCAGCAGAAGAACGTTATAGTATTATCAGAAATGACCATCATCAGTTATTGCTTTCCTTGGTATGAACCTAAAGGAAGTCAAGTGCAGAATCAGCAGCTATTCTTCTCTTGAACTTCGTCCCTGAAAGCGTTTTCATAGCAGCTGTCAATGTCATAAGAGGACCTTGTTTAATATAAAGTAAACATAACCTTTGTGTGCTTGGGACATTAAATCAGCTTGAAACCGTAAAGTTACACATACAGTACATATATATTATTTATACTACTGTCAGCCTTGCTGCTCATTTCATTCACAGTAATGAAGATAAGGATTTAAAAGAACATTCTTCACATGGCATAAGCACGTCCTTGCTCCCCCTTTTCATTTTCTCTAAATTAAACTGAAACGCTTACAGACACTCAAAGCAGGGGCGTCATTATGGCTTCACTCATTCATATTGACTAACACGCTGCCAATCTTCCTCTTGTCTCGCCAGATATTATCTTAGCGACACACGTGTAGCATCTTAATGCATCTTAAAGCTCCTCTTTTAAAACGCTGTGAGGCCGATGCACGTTGCTAGACACCATGTGGCACCAACAGACATTGATTACAAGTGTCTTTGGCGTTGAACAATAGAATTACTGCGGCACAGCCAGCACAGGCGAGATGAATGATAGCCGTGTGGAGTGCGTATGCTCATTATTTCAGGCTTTTCACATTCTTCGCCTACGACCAGGTATTTCCATGTACTGATTAAAGGTGAGATGAGCATGTTGTAACGCGGTGCCTTGTCAAGCTGGCTGTGCCCGGCTCTACATGCCCGGCTCTGCAAGCCCTCCGCACCTCTGAGGCTTCCTCCCCTCTTCTCTCTGTTCTCCCTTCCCCTTTCCTCTGCCAGACCTGTCACTCCAAAAGAGATGAGTATTTTATATATGCACACTGAAGTGGCATTATTGCTCATGGGAGAAAGCCACAACTAGTTTGAAAAAGCATATTCTCCCCAGCCAGTCATAAAAGTGATGCAGAGGGTGACTTGCTTAACCTTTACTTGACCTGAGGTATAACACCTGTGGCTCTGAGCTGCAGGATGATCCAGGATATCCAGTTTCTCTGTGGTCAGATGGTCAGACAAGTTGTGTTCACAAAATGAGTCTCAAGCTGAGTAACTCAGTTTTGGGGTTGATTTCCAATCACCTGCCCAATGTTCAGGCCACCACTGAGGCACTTCAGGTCAAAAAGAGGTGATGGAGCTAAATGCAGCTGTGTGGTCACAGACCCCTAAACACACACATGCATGTTTTAATAACAGAGTGAACCCTTAGGTGTTTATTGTACAGACGTTCACACTGTTCAGCTCTAAGAAGTAAAGTCAACCACTATGAAATGAAATAAGTCTAAGTGTCTAGAGGAAGGCGGCAAGCACTCGTCGGCGTTCAATGGTTTGGGTATTCTGTAAGAAATTATTTTGGAGGTTATACTTGAAAGCTTTTGGAAAGTTTGCCATTATGGCCTCCCTGTCTTTCATTTTTTCTTTCATCACTTACGAGAAGTCGAATAAAGGGTTGGGGCTGAAGAAGAGAAATTGTTCTTTTATATGCTTTGAGAAATATGATAGTAAATTCTTGAAAAGGGCTCTGTCCTTCAACCCATCAAAGCTCCGTGTTTCACTAGCATTTAAAAAGAGAAGTGTTGTGGTGACAAGAAGAAGAGAATGTATTTTCTAACTGAATATTGGGGCTTCTTTACATCCATTAATTAAACTAATTTCATTATTAGATCTTTTAGGTGATTCATTTATTTAATAGCACAATCTGATCCTGCTGCGCAAGGTATTATCTTTTCAAACTTCAACACTTAGCAGGTGCAATAGATGTAATGGAAGGTGAAAAATAGTTTAAAAGGCATCCTTTGTTACATCAGCCCCTGCCAAGTGCTAATGTTTTGTCCTAATGAGAAGTCAAAGGTGGAATAATGTCACATTATGTAAATATAATGTGACAGAGACAAGGTTATTATGGGTAAGACTGGTGATAATATCTATGATGGCTTCTAAAACCTTTATCTTCTGCTTCCCTTAAATAGCAGAAGACAGCTTTGTGTATGATAGTCTAAGATTAAACTTTAATGATCCCTGCGGGGGGGAAATGAGATCGCTGCAGCAGCAAATAGTGGTTGAGCAAAATAAAGAAAAATAGAATAGGAACAGAAAATACAATATAAATAATAAATGTGCAATTTAAGTGTAATATAAACCAAAAACACTGGACCATGTTGTAGAATAATGGATAACAGAATTATTCGATTACAGGGACAAAACCATATGCAACAATCATCGAACATGTGCAGAATATGATAGTGAGAACTATTCAGTTAATACAAATCTAAATTGACAATAATTTAGGACTGTGAAGAAAACAAGAAAAACAACAGAGGGAATTAAAAAGGCTTCTCAGTATATTTAGTCTTTTCCGAGCTACTTTATGACTTAGGAAACTTTGTTAGGAAAGTTCAATTCCAGCAGGATAATAATAAATGGCTAAAAATCACACAAGTCCATGCTGTTTCATGCTTCAACCTGCAAGCCTGTGAATTCCTCCACACCAGCACAATGTTCAGTGTATTATTCTTACTTCAAGTGAGTTTACTGCAGTGAGTTGTGTTCCCCACTCACCTCCTGTTCAGACCACCTTGGTTGGTTAGAAAGAAATGGACGCTGCTTTTTTTGCCAGGGACTGATGGTGTCTTTGCCCTCACAGATGGTCATTGAATGGGACTCTCATAAATCTGGGCCTGGATCGCCGGCGGCGTCTGTCTGGGGGCAACCTCATTATAAGCAGTCTGGACCGCTACCAGGATGTAGGAATGTACCAGTGCATGGCGTTCAACACTGTAGGAGCGATTCTCAGCAGGAGAGCCAGTCTGCAGTTTGCCTGTAAGTTCACGTCACTTTTTATTAAGAAATGGGATGGTGGTGTAACCGCACTTAGAAAATAATGCCGACGCACACCAAACTAGGTGGGCGACGCTTGTAATATTTATGAGTGCTACAACTCTGAGGCGATGTTAAATGCTGAAATGGCATGGGGGCAGTTTTAGCGTGACGTCTATTCTTTACTTATGTTCGTTCTTGCTAACTAAGAATGAATACTTCATTTCACCTTGCTTAGCTTTATCAGAAATGTCATTGGTGTTTTATGTCATGTACTCTGGGGGGTAAATAAGTCAACCAAATTGTGTTGGGTATGACAAATACCTCAATAAGGACTCAATGATGTGTTAATGTTGACTCCAACATAATATGTCGGTTTTGAGTAATGGAAATTAATAAAACTAACTAAACTAGTACAAACAGTAGTACAATTTAGTACAATTGTATTGCCATACAAATAAGACAAACTGTGATATCTCTCACATTACATACACGTGGTGGTAAAAGCAGCAAACATCTGAAATGAGTAAAGAAATAAGTACTTACTGTTAATGTACTATTCATTGTACTTCAATTGTTGCAGATAACAAGAAAGTATCTTTTCACACCTTCTGTGTCTGGCCTTGCCGATATTTTTGGTTGTATTTCAAGCTTTTAGACATGCACTGCTGAGACATAATGACATAACAAACTCAACAACCCATTGTGCAGAAATAATGTCTTTGTTACACTATATAACACCTTGCTGATAGGATTGTTTTGTTATGACATCTGTAAATAGCCCAAAGGAAAACTTTGAAACTGATTGAAGAGAGGTTTGTGGCTTATATAGAGTGACCAGAAGATATCTTCATTGCCTAATACTACCAGGGGTTAGTGGAAAAATCATTTCACTATTTCCATGCACTGGATAACATATGTTATAATACTGTTTTTTGTGGTTTTCAGTTTATTTCTAAGCCATTACCAGGGGCAAGACTGAATAGTTGGTTGTTTAACCTACAGTAGTTATTGTTCTTATTTCTTATTCAGACCTGAAGGTTAATGGTATTATGTTTATTGCAATATGTGAAATATGACTAAACTGTTGGTTTTGTGTCCTTGTGGTTGCTATATATTGTATGTTGTCGTTTTTTTCCCTGAACTACTATAACAAGACACTTAAAAAGGATAGCAATATATATGTTATATCTCCCTGCACTTGTGCTCATACCTACAAGCCTCTTCTCAGTCTGAACCTGTTTCATTCACTGAAGTGCAATTCTCCTGACAATATCCTTATGTGCTTGTGTGAGAGTCTTGCTGTAAGCACTCCGACACATGTGAGCTCCTGCGGTGATCTTCCTTTTCATTTTTGTTTCCCTCAGACTTAGATCATTTCAAAGTCCACACCAGAAGCGCAGTGTCAGTCCGTGAGGGACAAGGAGTGGTGTTACTTTGTGGAACGTCCACTTCCTCAGGAGGTAAACCTTCATCCTGGCTTCAAACTGTGCAGTTGTTTAAAGTTGAAGTGGCTTGTAGAATAAAGTATACCATTGCCAGCATTAATTCACCTTTTTTACCATGACATTTAACAATCTCTTTTTCTTCCAGACCTTACATATGCATGGGTCTTCAATGAGTACCCTTACTTTGTTCAACAAGACAATCGGCGTTTCGTCTCCCAGCAGACGGGAAATCTTTACATCGCCAAGGTGGACCCCTCAGACGTGGGCAACTACACTTGTGTGGTGATGAACAGCATCACAAAGGGCAAGATTCAGAGCTCACCTACATCTCTGATCCTCAGGACAGATGGTAAGAAGCCCAGCTCAGGGCCGCGATGTGACAAGTGTGCCTCACAGCCATGTATTAGGGACCTTTCCTTTGAAGGTGGCTTTAATCATCGCACTTGCATGAGTGCTCTTTGTCGTGTCGTGCCTCGCTGTCGTTGAGTCACCGAGCGCTAATGCTTGTAAGTAAATAGTTGCTCCTCAATGTAGGCCAGCAAACAAAGCACCCAAATCTCCTCTTTGCTGACTTAGCTCTCTTATAATTTCGCATTGCCTTTAAAAGCTTTTCTCTGTGCTTTCACATGAATTCTCCAGCCCGGTTCTCTTTGGTCTGTTGTTCTATTCTCTGTTACGCCTTCATAGAAAGAGTGAATACAAATTGCCTTCCAATGAATAAAACATAAGCCATACGTCACTGGACCATTACATTGAGTGTTCTGGTGGCTCAACCAGTTAGTTTCCACTCAGTGTACTGTACATGTGGCTGCATACATTTAAATCTCATCGCATCATTTTATGATCCTAGCCTTGACTGTCTTAAATACTGTTACAAACAATAAAACACAAGGGGTTGGGAGCTGCCCCCTCAAGCTTTGAAATAATAGACTAACAGCCAGACCAGCACAAAAGACAAGGTTTCAAATTCTACTCTATCTATTCCACCAAGAAGATATTTAAATTATTCCTTGCTGGTGTTTCACGGCGCTCTGGCGACATTTAAGTGATGTACTACTTGGAGTTTACCCGCGAGAGAATGTTTGCTCATGTGTCTTTTATTTCTCCTCTGTTAGTTTTACAGTGCGATTGTTTGGTCCATAATGCAAACCATATTGCTTGTAAGTCATGAATAATGGAAGACTGAGCAAGTTCTTGTGCTTGCTCTTCATAGGAGTGATGGGCGAATACGAGCCGAAAATAGAAGTTAATTTCCCAGACAATGTACCCGCAGCAAAAGGATCAACAATTACGCTGGAATGTTTCGCCCTTGGGAAGTAAGCTGGATTCCTTCAAGCATGTTTTCAATCTTCCGCTGTCTTTCATTCCAGACATCTGGATTTCTGGAAAGTAAAGTTGCTTTGGCAATTATATTTTTTAGAGTGTGGCATCAAGCCATGATTGGTCTGAAAGCCATGTGAGACTGCATTATTTGTTGTCAGATCAGGGTAACTCTAAACCATTCTTCCGCCAAAAAAAAACACTGTGACTTTAAAGCTTCATCAAACACTTTATCGCAGGATTACAGAGACCTGCAACCTGAGCTGCAATCTTAAAAGTTCAAAAGGACTTGAATCGGGATCTCCGCTGAGGTTTAATTCCTCTGCGTCTTTCAGCCCTGTCCCAGAAATCACCTGGAAGAGAGCTAACGGCGTTCCCTTCCCCAGCAAAGTCAAAATGAAGTACTCTAATGCCGTGCTGGAGATACCCAGCTTCCAGCAGGATGATACGGGAGGATACGAGTGTGTAGCTGAGAACAAGATGGGCAAGAACATAGCCACCGGTCGGCTGGCCTTCTATGGTAAGATATATTTTCTTTTACTTGCTATGACAACAAAAAACGTTGTACCGATTAAGTTATACACTGTAATGTGTGAGATCTTTGCTATGTTCCATCTGTCATATTCTCAATGTAATACTGCTGCTGTCAGTGTCAAAAGAGTTGTTATTTGGTAATACGACCGATATGTTAACAGCCTATTGTTATTTACAGCTTTAACAAGTAATTTTCTTTCTTTCCACGCGGTTAGTGTTCATTTTACTGCAGTTTTAAAAAATGTTGGCATCTTGACTTACCTCAACTGCTGTTCCTTTTTGAAAGAGGAAGAATGACACTTTGCAAATGCATGTAAAGTCAGCTGTGCCGATTGTTATGAGCGCAACACTTTACCTGCTACACATTCTGTAAAGTTGTAAATGTGTAAGAGAAAAGAAGCTCGAAAGTTGTGTGCTGGATGTGGGAACAGACCCAGGGGGATGTTTATTAAACACAGAATTAAGGTGGCTGTTCATGACAGCTTCCTGCTTTGTGGCGTGGCATTTCATGCTAATCTTGACTTGCTACAGGCAGCTGACACATTTAAGTGATGAAGCGGAGTGAAACCCTAGATTCACTCCTCTCTCCCCTTTAAAGACAAGTCTATTTTCTAACTTATTGGAGCTGTCACTCTATTCATGCTTTCCTTTGAACTATTTTCTCAAATTCTATTTTCAAAATGTAGGCCTAAACAGGTTTTCTTAAGAACAATTGTATTGGTCCTAAAATAAATGCTCTACCACTTCAAATATTAAAGAGGTTTATTTACTTTTGGTTTTTGATATCATACCCGCTTCTTAAGATTTTAGGATTTAGATTTGGCTCGCTTTAGAGTTACATTCAATTATGATTTGTTTTGCACGATGGGGAAGTGCAAACTCAAGCAGACATGGATCAGATCAATAAATGCCCATTCCTAAAGTAATGAATGGAAATACTTTTTAATGCAAATGTTCCTCCATACTTCTGCCAGTATAACTGCAAAATAAAAATGCCTCTATAATTTAAATATGTAACTTAAGAAGGTCTTAAAAAGTCTTCAATTTATCTTCAAACCTGCAGAAACCCCAGAGATATTATGCTCCATAAGTCTGTCTTCCTGGTTCTCCAACATTTCACTGGTTCATATTTGTGTTCCCTCAGCCAAGCCTCAGTGGATCCAGGCCACGAAGGACACGGCCCTGGCCATAGAGGAGAGACTTTACTGGGACTGCCGAGCCAATGGCAAGCCCAAGCCCGCCTACACGTGGCTGAAGAACGGCCAACAGCTTCTCTCTGAGGTAAATTATTGCCCGTCTTCTGCCACCTACCAATGTTTCATTTTTAAAGACTTAATCCTCATCTTCAGCGCATCCTTTCATTTTAGAGAGCCTGGCGTCAAGCACGCGGCTGTTTTTCCAAGTGCGATGAGAGGCGAGTGTAAACGTCTTGCTGAGGTTTGCCAGTGATGAGACATGGATGTAACTGTCTCTTATTCCGCTCTACCTTGGCAGATTACACAGTCTTAGAGAGTGGATCAGTGTAGTCCCTCCGAGATTGCTCCATTTCATCTGAATGGAGTCGGTGGTTGTTTTCATTATTCATGGTGCATGTTTTAGCTCCTCCAGATTTAGGGACAATGGGTTTAATCTACTGTGAAATATGCTATACGGCTGCACACCTTACCCAGGACCACCAGGGACACAGATAGCTTTCAACTTGACTTGACTTCAATATGCTGCTGTTGCTTTATCTTCTCAGCAGCATTTGGTAATGCTCAATGCGAGCACCTGCTTCTATAACAACAACAAAAAGGCTTTTTTAAATGTCATTCTATGATTTGATTGTAACAATATATGTACTGTTGCAAGATCAAGAACATGATTGTTTAACTAAAAGGCAGTATTGTTTACTTTTCATAATATCAGTTTCAGACACAATGTAAGGCTTACAAATTTATAATCTTTAATTCAAAGAGAGAGCTTAATCTTCACACGCTAAACAGAAACAATATACGATTAGACCATAATGTGTGTAATTGCATGGATTGAGTTACATACAGTAAGGGTTTTAATGAAAAAACGTTACATGTTTCACCTCAATAAGATATATCCTGGCTTAATCATTCATCAGAAATAAAATAAATACATATATAACAGGATGCTGAATTTAGCCACACATACACACATTTTGCACACATAGTTTTCACTACAGGATATTATTACAAGCTGATTACTGGTTAACATGATAGTGAGAATATTTGAAAAAAAACATGTTGTTTGTGTACTGACTCTGATTCATTCACGGCAACATAATCCTGATTTGATCTTCGCCCATTGACATTGCCTCTAACCCAATCCAATTCTTATTGAGCTTTGCCAGAGCGCGCTGAGCAAAGCAAAAACCTACCTTCAAGTCTTAAGCAATAATTGCTTTCTTTCATCCTTTTCTTCACAGGACAGAATCCATGTGGAGAACGGAGTCCTGTCAGTGTCCGCGCTGACGCTATCTGATGCCGGCATGTACCAGTGTGTGGCTGAGAATAAACATGGCGTCATATATTTCTCTGCTGAACTAATGGTTTTAGGTACGGTGGCATTTATCTCTCCTTTAAATCCTCCAATCATTGTTGCCGAAGAATCTTAAAGGTCATCTTACTGTCATTCTTAAAGGTTGTCTGGATTAGTGGATAATGGGGTCAGCGAGGAGGGTTTGATGGGGCCAAACACACTTAAAAAATATTTTCCCCTTCATGATATCCTGATTTACTTTGAAGTTAAGGTGAGGATGGGGTAGTTGATTCAAAATGAATGACAAAAATGATCTTTATGAGTAAAACCAATTAAAGATGCAACATTGTTGGTCCCTGTAAATCCATGTTCTTTATAGAAAATGGAACAAAAATCACCAGTAGTGATTGGATTTTATATTTATTTTCTCCCATCACAAATGTTTCAAATGTCTGTCTCCATTACTTTCCAATTTGATGATTTTCCCAGATCAAACTGAGGCGTGCTTCAAATGCCCTGTGAGATTTTCAGCAGGCTTGTACTAAAGTCAGTTTACTGTTTCCCATCAGCCTCTCCGCCAGACTTCACAGGAAACGTCCTCAGAGCTTTGCTCAAAGCCAAGGCAGGAACTACAGTGACTTTAGAGTGTAAACCCCAGGCCTATCCCATCGCCAGCATCTTATGGAAGAAAGGAAACCTCCCTATCCACACCAACGACAGGTAATGACTGAACTGAACCTGCTTTAATTAAGCCAGAGGACCGATGGATGTGATAGGAATGTACAATTAAAGGCAATTCAGTATTTCCCATCGTATGTTTTCAACCTTGTTAAGTCCAAACGATCAATATCCCCCTTCACTTACACTGTTTCCCGTTGCCTATGATAATGAAGAACACTGAGACAAATCCAGAATTAGAGTTTATCTAATGACAATATTATCTTTTGTTCTCTGAAGTTGGATTGCAAACGGGTGTCTCTGTTTGCTTTAGGATCACACTCTCCCCAGATGGAACATTGAGGCTTGCCAACGTGAGCAAGTCTGATGCAGGCAGCTATACGTGCTTCGCGAGGAATAGATTTGGCATGTCAAGTACAACAGGACGGCTCCTCGTTACCGGTAAGCTCCACTGTGACATAGCAGAATGTTTATGCATCCCACTTAGTTAGCAGAATTTATCTCTCATTATGGATTAACGCAAGGGAGAGTTACTGTGGCGCAAAGAGTCGATAACTGGTGGGTGGAAACATAAACAAACTTCAGGTTTTCCTCTGAGGAGCGAGTCAGAAACTTTAGGAGCTGTCTAGCCTTCAAGGACTTTACAAAATAAAAAAATGCCTGAAATCATTTTGGTATATTATTTTAAATGTCATTTTTACTCAAACTCGACTGCAACTTTAAAAAAAAAAACCTTTTTGTCTTTCAGTTTAATTCCATTGAGTTGTTAAGTGCGGCTGCAATAACGCACTTGGAAGGTGTTTGAAAAAATACTCTATCATTGTTTTCTTCAAAGCAGTTGAAACAACCAATTTACTGCAACAAATGAAAGTGCCCTGAGTGGAGGCAATGAAAGCGTTAGTGAGGAGGTGTTATAGATGCTGTTGTTGTGGAGCGTGTGCTTCCAGTGGAGTGTTAGTAAAGTGTTCTCTTATTGGTTTTATTAATGTGCTGAACGCTATTGTCTGCCACTGTAACTGCCAGTTGGGGGGGTATTTTTCAAGGCCATAATGCAGTCAGCGGCACAGAGCCGCGACCCAGACATTGATTATTACTAGCTTAAGAACTAAGGGGACATTTGTACATGTAATTTCCTTACCCCTCGAGATTCTACTCTATAAGGTAAGATGTAAGAGTACAAATCCTCTTGCTTTGTGCTGCACCTTCTTTATTTGATTCTAGCAGATTCATTATCTTGACTTTTGAAGCACGACAGACTTAGTCCAGTCATTGCTTTTGTAGACTTTGAAGCAACGCCCCTTCATTTATGTTCTGGATGCACAGAGCAGCCCATTACATGAAGTTTTATCTGATCCGCACTGTATTGTAATTGCTATCAGGATTTCAGGAGATTATTCTAGCGGTGTCAGCTTGGAGTATTAGGCCATTTTAGTAGTGGCAGGCTGGTGTTATCACATTATTCCACTTAAGACTTTGATGAGACCTTGCTTTATATAGATAATTCCCTGCCTGTGACTAAGTGTATTATAGCGTATGTAGCCTCACTGTTGAACCCAGAGGTGGGAAGTAGTGGAGTACAAATACTTTGTTACTGTACTTAAGTACGTTTTTCTGGTATCAGTACTTTACTCCACTACTTCTTTTTCTGACGACTTTTACTTTACTTCTTACATTTCTAACAAAAATACCTGAACTTTAAACTTCTTCAAAACAGGCACATTACTTTAGTTTTAATCTGTGATTGGTGGAGTGATCATTATTAATGATAACTTTGTCATTTTGCCGTTGTTCAGCATCTAAACATTCAGTAGCTAACAATGACATTATTGTTCTATTAATATAAAGTGAGGTCAGTTACTTTATAAAACAGATGGTAGTTATGGGTACTTAATTACATTTCGAAACCCATACTTCTTTACTTTTATTTGAGTAAAGAAGTTTAGTCAGTACTTCTACTTTTACCAGAGTATTTTTAAACACGAGTATCTGTACTTCTACTTGAGTAAAGGATGGTTGTACTTTTGTCATCTCTGGTTGAACTTCTATTGCAGAAAATCAACAATACACTGCTCATCTCGTTTCATGTCGCAATGAATATCTTATGATCTGTGTTAGATTGGCAGCCGCCCTGTGAGAAATGACTCTCTCTCAACAATTTTTTTTCGGGCAGATCCAACCAGAATCACCCAGGGGCCCGTGGACATGGAGATCATAGTGGGCGAGAGCATCGTGTTACCCTGTCAAGTCTCCAGTGACCCCGTCCTTGATGTTTCTTTCTCCTGGGCCTTCAACGGACAGCTGATAGCCAAGGGAGACGGTCACTTTGAGCTAGTGGGTGGGGTGAGTGACCCCGCAGTCATACTTCTTCAAAACGTGTGAATGGGCAGTTGGCACCTCTCCCCATATTGCTTCACTTCATCCCTGCCATTAGTTAAAAGAGACAGCATGTGGTTTGACACGCTGGTATTTCTTGGAGAGATTTGCTGTGGTTAGTTTTACTGCAATAGGTATGATACCATCCTTTTTTGCAATTCTAAAGAGTCTCCTTGGAGGCATTACAGGCTGTGGGAAGATGTTTAAAAAGGAAGCTCTATTAAACCATTCAGCCCCTCTCAGCTTCCAAAAGTACGTTTGTGAATAGAACCATGGTTATGCTATGTCAGAATATACATGAAACCTCATGTATCATGCCTTAGTTGCTCAGCCACTGTGACAGGTTGTCCTCTTTTTAAGTACACTTCCCTTACACGAGCTTACCCTTCTGAAGTAATCTATTTTCAATAGTTTGGTTGCTATTCAATTCTTTTCAAATCCTTTTTTGACATAGCTTGCTGCTCCATAACAGAAAGGGAATACATATTATTAGAGGTGTCTTGGCAGAGCCCCAAATGACAAAATATTTTCATAACACCCTCAGACCTTTAGAGATTAACCATTCTTCCTTGTGTGTGTTTGACTGACAATGTTCTTATCTGTAAAGAGACTCCCCCAGAAATGCTAGAATGTCCCCAGTCCAAAGAGATTATCAACTTAACTTTGCTGCTTCAAGGAATTTAATTTCCATACAGTAATTAAACCACGTTGGCTCTACTGCCACATTTGCCTGCCAATACCTAGAGAACGATTTCACCACTAATTTACCGTTTGCTGCTTACGGGTGTCCTCTCAGATGAGAATCTAGAGGGCCTTTTTTTCCTCTCCAATCGAGCAAAAACTGGCTGAATTCAAACGTATTAGCTTAGTTGTGTAGTTTCTTGCAGCAGGACTTGAAGGCGATGATGATGACCTCTGCAAAAAGCGAGAAGAAATAGCAAAAGCCTTTTCAGACACAGAAGTTCCATTTGCAGCATACAACTTCTGTGATTTTTGGCCGAGATGCTTTTCATCGGGATTCATCTTGGACAGAAGTGTGCGACTAAAAGGTTCTGTCATATTCAGGATATTTTCATAATGCTCGCCTTTATGGCTGCGACTTCAAGAAGTGTCGAGATGCACAGTATGTCTAAAAATATCTTCGGTGTTAAATATCTTTAAAAACAGGCTATTCTGCAAAGTTAAATAACTGAAAGATCTGTAAACGCTCAGCTATTTACTGCACCTTATATATGCCTCGCTGCATTCTTTAATAAGCTGTCACAGGGTCTGTTATCTTTCATGCTACATAAAGCTTTCTCTCCCCCCATGTAGAGAACAGCAGGGGATCTGATGATCAGGAACATTCAGCTTTACCATGCCGGAAAATATATCTGTGTGGTGGACACGGACGTGGAGAGCCTGTCAGCCGTGGCTGTATTGATTGTCAAAGGTAAGAAAACCTCTTCTCTGCTCTGGAGTTACTAATTAAAGCGGGGCTTATAGCCAGGATTGTTTTTAGTTCCTCTTTTAAAAAAGAACTGGAAATAAAAACTCTACACTTAACTGTAAAGGGTGGACAGTAAATGGACTGCACTTATATAGTGCTTTTCTACCTTAACGGACAAAACGCTTTCCAATTTGCCTCTTGTACACCCATTGACACACACACACACACACACACACACACACACACACACACACACACACACACACACACACACACATTGGAGCTGCCATGTGAGGCTGGCCTGTCCTTCGGGAGCAACTTAGGGTTCAGTGTCTCGCTCAAGGACGCTTGGACATATAATAGCCGTTAAGTGGCTGATAGATGTAGCCAACAGCCGACAATAAAAAGATGTCTGCACTCTGTAAGGGTAACCAAATAAAACCTGTGTTGCAAAAAATCAAAGGAAATATATATTTTGGAGACATTATATGAATATACTTTACTAAGAATATAAAGACTGCTCGACTGTATAATGTTCACTTAGGGTTTTAAACTCAAATGGTTTGTGTCTCAGCCAGTGATTGCAGTGCAACCAAAATGCCCATATCCTCATGAAAATTATTCTGGATGTCATCACAGAATCCACAGTTTTTATGTCCTGATTATTATTCCTGGTAGCAGTCGGTTGATTACATCAAATAGAGGAGGCTTGCTTTTCTTTTATATTGCTTTCAGGGGTATTTGTGGGAGCAGAGAATTTGAAGAAACTGTGTGAAAATATTCTCTCTCTTTTTAATGACCAATTTTCAATATTGTTGCAATGTACTTGACAGTACAATGTTTAGATGCCTGTCTGTGCTCACTCATGCAATATGTAGTCCTCCGGAGAGACACGATTGTCAAGAGCTACATTGGGCAGAACAAAATAGAACAACTTTTGTTTTGTGTTTTCGGGGAGAGGCAGATTTGTGTTGCTTGAGTGAGAGGAGGGATGTTTCTGGCTTCGATCAAAATGTCAAATAGCCCAGCAAATTGACACTACGCAGATATGTTGAATGTCAGATGAGGTGAGCAATGATATTGGTGTAACATTTTGAAACGTTTGAATTTGAATCCATATCTTTATCTTCTAAAGATATCCACCAATGACTCGGTGTTAAAGATCTTCTAATCAAATGGCATTATTAAGCGCTCCTGTCCAATTGGCTGAGGACTAAGTGGAAAAAAGGCTGTTTTTCAAGCAGAAGCAATATCAAGGCCCTGGAAATTGATTGGCCCAGTATTGACTGGAGAGAAACTTGTCTGTGATTCAGATTGTGCATTATTTACACTTCCTGCTCACGGCAGCTGTCATGGATGTCTCACTGCTTGGATCGAACAGCTCCAAATGTTGGCCGACAAAGCATGAAGCCGGATAGAAAACCAGTCATGGGGGGCTGAGAATGGATTCGCTTGATCACAGCTGAACACCACTAACAAACTGACAGTGATCACATGTCCAGTGTCCTGTTGGGAGACCCCCACTACCTTTGTACCCATGAAAAATAAAAGACACATTATTTCTAATTATATTCAAAATACCATATTAAGCATAGCAAAGATACAATCTGTCGTCATCTAGTCACATACTACCTATGTAAAAGTATGAATGCAACAATAAAATAATACTTTATTGCCTGTAAAAATCCTCCATACAATTTTCTACGTAAGTTAAATTAGGTAACTTCCCATCATCGGCAAAATATTATTTTTTTTGTGTGAATTCTGTGAATTATTAGACTTTTTTTTTACATTCTGACTCATCATGGTGCTATGTATTTAGTTTTAACTACTTAAATTAACTTTTAGGTAGCAGTGTGCAGTGGTTCCCAACCTGTGGGTCTGTCCTGTTTAAAGAGTCTAATCTAAGGGGTTGTGCAATTATTAATGTGATGGAATAGACGACAAAAGATTGTCTACGTAGATCTTTTTTATTTTTTATTTGAATTGGACAATGTGATAATGTTTTTGGATCAAATAGATTGTTTAAGTGGAACCATCTGAGTCACTCTTTTGGTGCTACTGCAAACTTTTTTAATTAAATACATTTATTGAGTAAACATATTTAGTAACACATTATTTTCAACGTGTCGCTGTCGGAGTCTGGATAATTAAAAGGGAACATGCTGTATTTATTAGAACTACTTTCGACCAGAAAATTGTCCTGTGTTGTGTATATTATCTCAAGCAATGGGGATACTGCATCGGGAGATGTTGCTTTGATTCTTTTAAATTGTAATTTTTAAAAGCCGGGAGAAACCCATTAAATAATCAATTCTGCTCTAATTTATTATGGGGTGGAAGCAAACATCACAGAGATGGATAGCTCAAGGCTTGACGAATAAAACCTTGTCTACTTGGCTATATATACTGTGAGAGTGTAGGAGAGTGTCTGCATGTGCATGTGCTCAAAGAAATGCTATTTTAATGTTAAGACAACACTTTGAATAACGCATCACTCATTTAACTGTGATAAAAATGGTGCCAGTGTCATTGCGCTGGTAGTTGTGTGAAAACAGCTATTAACTTTAATGATCATACTTGAAGTAATGTGTATTATTGGTGTTATTGGCAATGGAAACATATATTACAATCACATAATATTAGCTGGTGACAGTATCTCAGTGATTTTGAATGCTGTCTCCTGTCTCGCTTCACTCCTCTCGCAGCAGTGAAGGTCAATGATAATCGCTCCCGACACAAAGATTCTCGAGTGATCATCTGGGTTCTTTTTTTCCACAATGACAGAGGGAAATGTTTTAGATCCCTCTCCATGATACCTGGCAAACATTCCACCGGGTGGTGGTGGTTATGGAGAAGGTCATGTTATACCGAATACATCATGACCATTAGCATTCAAACCACTTGGTGAGCGCTTGAGCTTGTTTGACAGTTGCATTATCATCATCGTCCTGGAAAACATTACATAGAAATATACACCTAATATACAACAGTCAGTGCAACACAATGTGATTTATCATTATTATTTAATTATTTATAAAACAAATGATTATTTATATTCAATTCTGACATGTGCAACTCTTTATATTACAAATTTGGGAAATATTTAAATCAGATCAAAATGATATCAACATTTCTGTAAGTATTCATAATACCGCCAGATAATGATTTGCCCCGTGCCAAGTTCACGACAAAAGCCCAGACAGTGTGTCCATATTAATAACAGATCATTTGAACACCCTAAAGACAATGACAGCACCCTCTTCCCTCAGCCAATGCAATATAATTAAGAGGATAAGGAATTGATCCCTGATTGTGTGCTTCTTAATATGTGTTACTGAAGCCAGTATATTAAAGGTTTTTTTTTAATCAGGAGCTGCTAATGAGTTTTACAAAGATCAATATCACTAAAGCCATGGCTTTAAGGCCATCATGCTCAATGCTTCTGTAAACAAAAAAATGTAGTTCAGCAGTTCCTTGTTTTGCATAGATGCATGTATTATACGTACATCACAGCCCTGCTGCATGAACTATTGATTGTTTGTTAAAATAATCATTAAATGCCTTAATAATTAGAATATTTTTGCTTCACATTAGGAACTAGTACAGGGACAGTGTGAGCAGAGCTGGGCGAGTTATTATTCTGCGGTCTGTCTCACAGCTCTCTAGTGGTCCATTATTTCTGATGAGCAGACACGTTCATTAGAACAGGAAACAGTAGATGAAGCCAAACTAAAACATCACACTGCTTAATTGGTGGGATAATGAAAATAAATGATAAAACTCTGGTTCTTCATGTCTATGAGGCCCCTTTTCATCTTTTACCTTTTAATTTGACTCCCTACATCTACTTGCGTCTGCTGTTTTATCGATCAATTACCGGGAAGACCATGAAAGGGAAGGAATACAAGTATGTTGAATATTAAAGGAAAAAAATCCTGAATTAGCTTCTCATATCTTTGTAAAGGGCATATGTTCTCAAACTTAAAGCTTTTTAAATATGTTTTTCTCTCTCTAATGTGTATTCCAAGATACAAATGAATAGTAATCAGTTGTTGCTCTATATATAGAGGTGTTTCTTATGCAAATGAGATTGCAGTTCATGTTTTGCTTGCAGTATGTGTGGTGTAGCATCCACATTCAGCCGTCTGGTGTGCGTGTGCGAGTACCTCACAGTGTCTTTTCTGTGATTGGGCCAGGCTCCCCCACCCCCCCAGACTCGGTGACGGTGGTGGAGGTGACAGACAGTACAGCCCAGCTGGCCTGGAGTCCCGGCAGAGACAATGGCAGCCCCATCACCAATTACCTCATCCAGACCAGGACTCCCTTCACCGTGGGATGGCAAAGGGTTAACACAGGTAGGCGGCACTTGAAGATGAAATTTCCTCTCATACCACATGTAATGTTGCTCAGATAATTCATAGATCCCCACAGGGAAATGCTCTGACTTCTCTTCCGGCTTCAGCTGGGAGGTCAAAGCGTAGGGTCAGCTGCAGAACGAAGGCTCTGGAGAAGGGAGGGATTCAGGGTCTTACTCGAGAGAACTAGAGGTCATCGCTGCTGCTTTTACATGATCTCATTTAAACCACTGAAAGGACCTTTACACCTGACAAAACCCTTTTCATCTGCTTAAGTCAAGTAAAGTCTCTGTGGAAGACGTACGACTTTTGTTCCAATGGAGAGGGGAAAGCATTTATTTGAAGAGTCTGGAGACACAAGCTTTCATTTTACCAGTTTATTACACTTCATTGCACAAGGGAAAACTGTAAATTAGTGAACGTTAGCTTAGAAGGTAAAACCTAGCAATTCTACAGATTTGTTTTGGCATCTTTCAGGTCATTATTTAGTTTATCCAATGATAATTTGGGAAAATCTTTTAGCATTACTCTACCCAACTTTGCTTTATTACCAGCCTTTCATGGATTCGAAGTAATTGGGTGCAATGAGTCACCACATTGCAGCGTCATCAAATTAGGTCATACAGTCTTGTGTATTTGTATGTCAGTTTATGGTTGTTTTTTTAAGCTTTTGCTGAACAACACAACTGTGTGACAGAAGTTTGACATTCTAGACTCAAAACTGAAGCTGACCTCCCATTCATCCCAAAGACATACTTTATTTTTTACAGATTTAGTTATCTTGTTTAAAAAGAATTCCTGGTATTATTTGTATTCTTATATATATTTATGTACACTGTATTATTTCTGTTTTATTTCAGTCCCAGAGATGATCGATGGAAGCACACTGACAGCCACTGTAGTGGACCTTAACGCCTGGGTGGAGTATGAGTTTCGTGTTTTGGCCAAAAACAGTGTTGGGGTCGGAGAACCCAGCCCTGTGTCGGTCAAGACCAGGACAGAGGACGCAGGTACAGTCAAAGCAATTGACTTTTCTTTTTTTTCAATACAAATAAAAAATTAGACTGAAAACAATAAAAGATAGAAAATTAAACGGATGCATCTTGATAACACAAACACACCACTTATATGAGCATGAATACAAAACACATAGGGAATATAATAAAACACGTTTTTTTCAATCAAAATTAAAGACAAAACATAAAAGTTGATCCTACAAATGTATGTCATTATTATGCAGAAAAACATTTAATCTCTCTGAGGCTAAATAAAAAGAACAATTATATTAGACTCAACACCTAATGTTATTTTTTAGTCAAATGAAATATTGTCATAATTTCTATGCAGTACACTGATTGATGTTGTGATACTTAATGGGAGTCCACAACAGGTGAATGAGTGAAACTGAAGAGTCTTTTATGTATGAGTATGACAAGAAAATAAGCCTTTAAAGATATGTATTATAAAATTCCATACATTTTGAAAGACACTACAGGTAAATAAGAAAAACATCTTAAGCAATCCACCATCAAACTAAGACTATCATTTTTTGTATTGGAATGTTTCTTCAATGTTATGTTTGGATATTCAAATGAGGCATTTTCCTTTGCTTACTTTTGGTGAATTAAGGGGCACTATACAGGCGCAAAGAAACAAAAATATAAAAATAAATATCATAAAAGTATTTTTTTCATAATTCTGAAATGAGACAAGTAAAACGGCGCAAACACTCAAAATCTACCAGTGCAAAGAACTATGATATTTCCTGAAGTGTCGCCCAAAACACTATTATCCCAGCCCTGTGTCATCACGACTAGGTGACACAGGTACAGAAAATAATCCCTTTTGTCCCCTAGAATCATTCGTCCTGATCTGGAAGAAACTATATGATTTGCAATAAGACACATTTTCTTAGTATTATACCATCTCTTCTTGTAAACTTTCCCAAGCCTGAAGTGTTTCTCGTACGGAGGTGTGAGTGATGAAGCTCTGTGTTTGCAGTTCCTGACGCAGCGCCAGGTGACGTGGGTGGAGGAGGTGGGAGCAGATCAGAACTGGTCATCACATGGGAGGTAAGTCATCAGTCTTATGTTCTAGTCTGTTATTCAAAGTGCCTGCAGTTAATCTTTTTTATCCTTCAGTGAGGTGCTTAATATTTCTCGCTAAATCAAAGCCTCTGCTCGGTTTGGCTTGCGGGTGTCATAAATTTCGAGTCAATTGAAGTCTGGCGTTGTAATTTCTTATTTAAAGAGTCTGCATGTAAAGCAGCAACAACGTATACACAAGCAAAACACTTAATCTGACAGTTATTGTCATTTATGAAGATTGGATTTTAGGTAATTACTGCTCAGCCAAATCTGCAAATGCTCAAATCTAGCAATAAGGTAAACCAGTTCAAATAATAGAATAATGTAACGCTATCTCATTATATTCCTTTTCTCTTTTCCTTAAATGCGCAACAAACTTTTCATTTTAAAAGCTGCACGGAGGTTTTGTAATGAGCTTAGATTTTTTTTTTAAATGACATTTTACTTCCCGTTTCATTTCGTCAGGTGGGTCACGAAAGCAATTTGTGGGTCATGCTCTTCTTCTGGCACAATGAGAGTGGGTGGAGATTCTGTCAGCCCAGCGGCGGGATGAATGTGAGAGGCTTGTATATGTTTTAATATCACTATAGTTTTGTGTTTCACTCTCAGCCTGTCCCCGAAGAACTACAGAATGGTGAGAGCTTTGGTTACATCATTGCTTTCCGTGCCTTTGGAGAAGTTAGCTGGACCCACGTGGCCACCTCGGCCCCCGGTGCCTCGCGCTACGTGTACCGCAACGAGAGCATCGCGCCCTTCTCTCCATTTCATGTCAAGGTTGGCACATACAACAGCAAAGGGCAGGGTCCCTTCAGCGCCGTGGTCACCATCTACTCTGCAGAGATAGGTAAGGGAATGGACGCCAGTGGTGTTTTTTGCAAAGCTCTCTCTGTTTCTGAAAAGGACAAAGACCGTGAAAAATGGTTTTGTTGCACCCACTGGACTGAAAGCGCTTGATAGATAAATAGAAACGTTGGGGAATCATTATGTCTTTTTACACAGTAGAACATTTGCTAAAAGAAAATGTGCAACACGTTTATGTAAGGACAGGCAGATTGCCTACAAATATCAGCACTCTTTTGAATGGCTATTGTGAAGTGAAAACCGGTTGGCATTTAGATCCATGCTACCTCTTAACGCGCTGAGAGGAGGTCAGTGTGTAGAGTACTGTTGTTCTATTTACCAGCGGCACCTGTGTGTGATGATTCATCCAAGTAGAGATCAACAAGAACACAGCACTGTCATAAATGTATAAAATGAAGAGATTTGTCCTGCTTTTCTCCGTCTCTCTGTTGGAAAAAGGCAGCACTGCTCAGTCTCCTGTCGTCTGTTTTCAGAGCCGAGCGGGGTGCCAGCAGGAGTTTGGGCCAGAAGTGTCTCCGCCTCTGAGATTGAGGTGAATTGGCAAGCTCTCTCCTTCACCCCTGAAAGGGTTCTGGGCTATGAGGTACATTTTACCCTTTTAAATGGAAATAGAAATCACACACAACACAATTCAAATGCTTGTCATCACCCCTGTTGTACCTCAAAAAGCCATCACTCCCAAACTCTGCGTCACCATGGAAATGGCTTTTTCAGTTGCGAGACAGTTAGAGACAAAATTATACAGTTCTTTGTACCAACACCACGGGTCGTGTTTTCAAGAGAACAAAAAATAAAATTGCCGGTCCACATCCCTTTTCAAGCTGCTGTCAGTTATGGTGTATCGTGATGCAGACCTCATGATGGTATGTGCTGCAATACCAGACCTGGTGTCAGAATGCTAAGAAATGCCATCACACCACGCCAAAGACTGTGTAACGAGACCGGAAAAGCTCCTCTGTTTGTTGTTTTTACAGAGAAGCACCTTGGGATTAATTTTAAATCTTTCATTGTTCACTAAATAAAATAGGAATATTAATCTATGACATATTAAAGCCAAAACTGTTGTTTTCTATTCTTATCTTCAAAAGTGGGACAGCCTGATTGTGCTGACGGAATCATCAGGCTGATCAAAGGGATTTATTAAAAGATGCTGCGGTTATTCTTGTGCTCAATAAAATTAAAGTTGTTTTAATATATCCATCTGCAAAAGTGAGCTTCTGTGCCATTTCAATTCAGAGCTGTAAACATCAGCTCAGATTGAATAATAAAGACATAAAAGGTAGATGTGTAGGAGGATGAACTTCTTTTTAAGATATATAATCAGTTTGATGTTAGAAAAAAATGACTCACTTATTTTATGATTGGTACATTAACTTTATATTTGATCAGTACAACAATTTAATTTAATTCATTACGCAAGCACAGATTAATGTATTGTAGGGCTAAAATGATTTCACAATAAATCCATTAGTCGAGGGACATAGACATCTGGATTGGTCATTTTGATAATGATATAGCTGTCAAATCTGTTGATGAATAAAAAAAAGATACATCTATTTTCACTCTTTCAGTGGTATCATAGTGAACAACAGTAGTTGTAAAAGTACAATTAAAAAGGCTTTTTACTTCAGATAAGATAACCTGCTGGAAAGGTTAAGGAAATAATAATTATTTAACACCACATTTTCACAAATACAACTACAAACACTTTATGTTCTGTATGTGATAAAACATTTATAGTACTGATGTAAGCATTTTGCTCCACTCTGAAGCAACATATCACGGTTGAATAAATCCCAGATACCGTGCTCTCTGTCTGAAACAGGTGGCATACTGGGAAGATGACACCAAACCAGAGACCATGGGGAAGGTCAGGGTGCCTTGGAACCAAACCTCGGTCATAGTGAGCGGCTTGGCAGGAATCACGCAGTATTTCCTCACAGTCAGCGCCTTCAACACAGCCGGCACCGGCCCCTTCCTACCAGCAATCAATGTCACCACAAAAAAGCCACGTAAGTTGCAGCACCCAAGACACCTTGCTGCTCCGGTGATTTTATGTCCAAACAGGTTATAATTCACGTCAGATGGCAGAATAAAAATATATGCTTCTAAAGCAGAGGTGTCTTAACTTTTTTCACCGAGGGCCACATACAGAAAAATATACGAAGGGCTAGCCACTCACTAGAGGTATATTGCCTCATAAGTTCAGTTATAAGTTAGCTAAATCAATCAAATATAGGTAAATTGTGCTTGTGAGTGTTGGCAGATCATCCCTTAAAACAGGAGCCTCAGATTGATTATAATAAGGAGAAATAGGAAGGGTGTATTTCAAGCTTGTTATGTAAATAAGTTTATTGGACTAAAAAATGTTTCCAACTTTAATTGACTGAATTTATTTGAAAAGTGGTCTTATTTACACATGAATACTACTGTGTAATATATTGTTACATTTATATTTAAGAAGTACAATATAAGACAACCGCAAGTTTCATTTGGGGGCCATATTCCATTATTTATTTATTTTATTTGCTGACGGCCGATTCCAAATGGTCCGCGGGCCGCATTTGGCCCCTGGGCCGTAGTTTGGACACCCCTGTTCTAAAGTCATCCTTTGAAGTAGTATCATCCCTTAAGAGAGGATAATTATTATAGATTGATGTGGCAGTAATGTGTTTCTGTGCTGATGTGTAAATGATTTGTTTTGATATCATGCAGCACCCGCCCTACCACCGCTGAATGTGGAATGGACTCTAATCGGCTCTCAGCTGTCTCTTTACTGGGAACCTGTGGTGGCAATGGAGTCAGAGTCAGAAGTTACAGGCTACCAAGTGAGTTAGACTTTTTTTAATATGCTCCACATTACCATGTTCCTATTAAACATCTGAGGGAAATGTACCTATGGTGGCTCACACTAAGCTGCCAGGTTGTAAGATGACATGTTTACAATGTGTCACCCACTTTGCTCCCCATCCAGCTGTCATACAGGAGGCAGAGGCTCAAAGAGGTATACACCCTCACTACAGCCAATTCAACAGCAGAGCTGACCCTCCCCGAGGAAGATGACGACTACATCATCCACATTCAGACGCTGAGTGAAGGAGGGCTGGGCCCGGCCTCTGACCCAATACGAATCCACCAACTAAGTGAGTTTGTTGTTAATGGTTGTATTGCTAACGTGGTTCCAAGTTCAAGGAATAGCTTCTCAGATTGAAAAACTGCTATATTTTTGTGTTAAGCTTTCACACTGAAATATGCTAATGCTTCCATGTTTGAGAGTACCACGACAGAGTAGCAAGATTTGACACCGGCACCTCGATCCCTCAGAGCTGTTAGTTTTTTACTATTTACCCACTCTTGTAAATGAATTCCCTTAGCACTTTTTAAACCTTGCAGGGACATTTTGTCCTCCGTTGACTTGCCATTACCCGCGCCCCCATCCACCCTTGTTTGGGCTCATCCCTGCTTATGTTTTGCAGAAATATGCAGCGAAATATATCTCTGTTGCAGAGGTTGACTTCCTCTTTTACTAGATGCTATAACTGTCCTGAGGGACACCAGGGGGGCTCCTCTGCTGCTCTAAATGCTAATTTGCATTGTTGATATTCTGTGTTGAATCCCTGAAAACAGCAGTTGAGACAGAGAATTCCACGCTGGCTTTTCTGTTAAACCTCATTTGAAAAATATGCTACTTTTTTCCCAGAGATTCTTTGGATACTGCAAAGAAAAATATGTTTGCAAAACACATTAGCAGGCAAAACAGAGTGCTGTGGTGCTGTGTGGATAGAAAGGGAAGCTGTGTGGTTCAGGAGATTTATTTTGCATAAATAATGTATAGTTTTTCCAGGAAAGAGTTTCTATGGATGTCATTACAGGAAAATAGTCAGTGATCCATAAGAACTAATTGAGTCGCTTAAATCATACATAACAAATTAGTGATGAGAGAAATCTGCATCAGGCCCCTGGTCCCTTTATAGTCCCATAATACATTTTTACTAACAAATGCAGTAATAAAAACAGGACATAAATACAATTTCACCACATTATAAGTATCCCTGTGAAACATCCATATGCGTGTTTCATGATTTGGAAATGTAAGTATCTAATTTTCCTTTAGAATGTTTTTGCAAATCTGTTTTCAGATGTGTCTACAGGTAAGATACCAGAGAGTGTGTAAGATAAGGAATGAAATGGATGTCCAGAACTGTTGGTGCTGCCACCAAACGTCCACTTCCAGGTTTGACTTTTTTTGTGTGTGTTGCAGGTATGAGTGCCCGCGGCTCGAGAGCCTGGAGTGCGGATACCTCCCCCCTCTCCCTGCTTCTGGCCATTGCAATATCAACCTTCAGGTCAACGTCGTGACACAATGACAAACTCCGCTTTGTTTTTTCAACCTTCTTAATGGTTTTATTTTTTCTTGAATTTGTGAAAGTTGCTGAGGTTTATTTTCTCTCTTATTTTTGGAGGTGACCACATACTATTTTGCAGTGTATAGTATGAGGCAGCACAAGAGTGGAGCATGCTGTCAGGCACTTATTAACAGTAAATTAGCTTCTTTTTTTTTAAAAACAATGCTCCATTTCAACACTTTTTTTTCTCGACTAGATTGATACAGATGCCTTACCATGTACCAAGATCCATGTGCCAAAGTAGTTTCAGCCTTCTTGTTGTTGCTAAGATAGCTACATGCTTTCCTCAACATTTTATCCCTCACAGATTCTTATTGTTGAAGGTCTTAGTGTACCTTGCGGAAGGCCATGATGAGAAGTTGTATTTTGTATTTTTGAATATTTTCAGTTTACCTCTCCACATATGAATTGGCGACTAGGAACATGTCCATTCACCCGTGCCCGTGCCTTTGGAGATTCTTGTAACGGCCTCACTTATAGACAATAGTCAGTGATGCTCAGTGTTTCAGAACATACTGCAGCCGCCTTCATCTTATGCGCTCCATTAAAAGTTGTCCCAGATGAAACTCATAAAACAGCTCAGAGTGCCGGTGTAAGCCATTTACCTTTTATCATTTGATTGTGCAGAGCTGAATGTGTACCGTGAGGGCTCGTACAGGTTTTAATGCCTCAGACCAGTTATTTTGATGGCCCGCTGATTGATGGATTGGATTTACTCTGCACTCACGAAGATTACATCTGCCTGTATACAGCAGTAGTAGGAGAGGTATATGACTGCCAGTGTATTTCCGTTAACACTAATGCTGAAACAATCACCAGGAAATAATCAACAACAAGTCATTGGAGTCATTTATCAAGGAAAAATGCACACCATACCCAACAAGGTGTGTGTATGAGTTCAATCCATTTGATGCCACGAAATCCAACTCGGAGGGTATTATTCCACTTTATACCATGGCCACATGCCAAACAACTGCTATAGGTCTACAAAATAAAGATATTATGTAGTCATTCAGTTCCTGATATCACTTCTTTTTTTTCTGACTGTTTTTAAAGTAACAACTATTAAAATCAGAATATTCAAACAATCATAATATAAAAAATATATACAATCCGCTTTGCAACACAAGCATATTTCCCATTCCAAGAATATTTTTCACTGATTGCACTCAAATCGCAAAGCAACACGGTCAATTCTTAAGAATTCAAAACAGCAGTTAAATACTTTTTGAGGGGTGAATAGCTATTCCTAATCACTTTAACAAAAGTTTCAAACAAAAATTAAATGTTCCAAGATGTACCTATTGGCTCTCAACCTCAAATATTTCAGCAAACAGTTTGGATTATCATAATTTATGTTCTTTAACTGCAATCCGACACCTTTGGTTATGTCAACTGAACAAACTCAACTGAGTAAACTTCAATTTATTTTGAAAACCGTGATGTGGTTAAAAGATTCTTAAGGTGTTACATTTACCTTGAGTTAGGATTAGCTTTTCAAAAGACTTTAGTACTGTTGCATTTGTTTATCATGGCAAACAAACCCCTCTGTTTTGTTTGTGATGCCCCCGTTACTAGACCTTTCGCCAATCAGGATCCAGAATTATCCGTGGCCGTGGTATGCATGTGATAACATATTTGGGTTTTGGACTGTTGGTCAGACGAAAGAAGACCTGTTTGAAAACATCTCCTTGGGTTCTGGGAAATTGTGATGCTCACTTTTCTTAATTTTTTGACATTTTATAGAAAAATCGATTAATAAATAATCATTAGTTGGAGCCCTAGTTTACATCCATCTGGGCGACACACAGTAGCCGTGCCAGTCATTGTGCATAATCAGCCATCGCAGTCAAGATGAGGAGGGATTTAAAGTGCTGCCAATTGTGCCAGTCTGATCATTAAAATCTAGCCACCAGCTTAGACATTATTTGGCAAAATGTATGGTCAGCTGTGTTTTAATACTTTGTGAATCTGTCCTTTCTTGTCAGTTGTATTGGCTTTTTTATGTGGTATGTGTTGTCATTGTTTCCTTTATGTATTTCAGCAAAACCCTCACTGCTCAGGTATTCAGACCTGCTTACCCCTACAGTACATTTCAATAGCCCTAAAGTGGCAGGAACAGATACAGTATATCAGTTACCTGTCAGCACACAACACAAGGGTCCATTTAACAGACTGACTTGACGAATGGAAAGCCTGATATGCGCCATGATTTAGCAGACATTAAAACATCTTAATGAATTAGAGCACGCCTGAGGGGCTCCTGTGGGAAAGGGCATAGGAGTAATGGTACTAATGACACCCACACAAGACAAATGTATCAGGATTTAGGGAGGACTAAATCAGGACAATCCCATCAAGATGACACCAGGAAGATTCAAGGGTGTGTGTGTGTGTGGTTATTAGCCTACACTACGGTGTGTTTGCAAGAAATCTCTGCTGGGGGAATATAATTTAAACTAATTTCTTGTACTTAACCCTGGTTCAGCGCTTTGGGCATGAAGCATGTGGACATTCAAATAGAGTAATTCAAGGTCAGCACGGGCAATATGATATATTGTAATTAAAATCAAATTACAATGAAAGCCAGTGCAAAGGAACAAATGGAACCGAGCTTCATAATCCAGAAGGCCATGTCAGGTACAAGTCTGTTTTCAATGTGTAGACAAAATGCTTTCTCCCCACGATGAGTGTTGAAGACTTTCTGAAAGCGCTCTTTGAATCCTGTTATGTTGTTTTTGTGGCTTTACGTGTGGTTAATCTGTACACATTCTTTCATTACAGAATGTCATTGTTAGGCTAACAAATGTTTACACAGGAAATGCATCTTTTTGGCTGATTTATTGATTATATGAACTGAAAAAGACAACCTTACGCATTGTATGAACTTGTGTCTTGGGTACATAGAAGCATTGCCAACCTCTTTGTTTTTGTAACGTATCAGTACTGTGGAGATGTTTTGATTTGGACTTTGATTTTTTCTTTTTTTTAATGTTTGATATTGTTCCTGATTGTTTCTTTTATTTTGTTTCTTCCAAAGATTCTGCACAAAGGTCAAGTGTTGCTTTAGAATAACAATTAAGAGCCAGTGCGATGAGATCTGGATTGCCTGCATACAGTAAACAGTACATACTGTATGTATTTTGTTGTGATTTGAAGCAACGCCCCCAACTGCGAGACCAAACCATGGTGTCCTACTTCTAATTGTAATTGTCTTTCCAACCCACAATCTGAAATATACATGAGCAGAGAGAGAGACATTTCTAAGCAGCTGCTATCACACACAGCCTTTTGGTGCAATGACACAAACACTACCTGTTACAAGGTAGTCAACCAGTGCACAGTAGATAATACAAGTAGTGTTATCTACTTGTACTTCTTTTTATAATATTACAACTTTACAATTTTCTTGCTACTATCAAGATCAGAAAAGGCTGAATTCATTGAAAATAAATGAGTTAGCCAAACATTTGTAATTGGATAAAGAGTGTTGGAGAAATACAATTAGAGCTCTGGGTGACAACGCTTGGCCTTTCTGTTGTGACTCCTCAGTATTTTGATGTCCAGGTGATCTCCGTGAGATCGTGGCAGTAACATTTTCACATTGAAAAGTCATCAGCTGATCTTGATATGCTGAAGCTGTGCATGTATGATATTGTTTGGTGCATTTGTGTTTTCTAAATGAGGGAGTTAATAAAAACAATTCACTGAGGATTCTCTCGGATTTCTTTGAATTATGGGTGGTACAGTGTCATTTTCAGCATCAGCAGTTTTAGTGTCTTTTACTGCAGGAAGAATTTGAGTGCTACCTTGAGGCACCATCAAAGCTATAAAATGCATAATATTATGAAAAAGCATTTAAATGAGGGTAAATGGCAGCAGTAATGTCCTATTCGGTGGACACAGAACACCTTTGCAAAGACTTTGGTGAATAAACTAATTGCTTTATCAAATAATAAGGATTATCATCACACACATTCTAAAGTCATACATCTATCTAAAAGAATACATAATCTAAAACGATATTTCAAGTAGTTGGCTTTGTGCAGTAGGTTTTGCAAAGAATATATTGAATAGTGTTATTCAAGCATATATCTTCTGAACTTCGGATGCCTTCCACTAAAAAAAGGGAATGACATGGAGAGCTACTGTGAAATATTGATTGAGCCAGTGTTGCAGAGATGCTTTTAAGATAATAAGAGGGAGAGGACCCTGTGAAGAGATCAATAGGGAAGGGAAGTGAAGAAAAGCGAGGTTTCTCCCTACACACCACAGATCATCCATAATGAGCTGGTGTGTCAATACTTCGGCAATGGCTCTTGACATGATATTGACCGCTGAATCACAACACTGGGCTACTGTAACTTATTTTTACACCAGACACTTAAGGGAGGGTATTAATGTATGATTAATATCCTCCGGTATACCCACAACATCACCTCTATTGCTGAAAACTGCAAAATGCAGATATTCGGATATGTTTAAGATAGCTCTTACAGAGATATTGGATGAGACATGATTGCTGTTCTTCCTATAGCCCACCAACACAGTGCAGATGTAGTTTAGTTGCTGCATATTGCATATATCAATACTGCCCCCCCATGGTACCAGCAGTCTGGTGCAACACTGAGGTAAAAAGGTTGGATGGGTGAGGTATGCTGTGTCTGCAGTGTCACTGCATTGCACGGGTACATTGAGGACCAGAGCATGGCAATGCAGTGGAATAATGATTCATGACCAATCCTGATTTGGATCACAACCTAAGAGAATCCACACAACGTAGAATATAGAAAAACATAAAATGTGGCAGAATGCTGAAATATCAACAACAATTAATAGCAATGGGTTCAGTGAATCCAAACATTTCACATTTGCTCAAGCAGCAATATTTCTCTTATTGTCAAACTAATTGTTGAAGATATAGTCCGTCGTCTCGCGGAACGTTTACTCCACTCCGACAGGTGGCGCTGTGTCTCCCTGCCCTGCCTTGTGTCAGCTATGAAGACAAAATATTGTGGAGAAGGAGACTGCTTCCTGCGGCACACATGTACACAGCACTGAAACTGGAATATGGATTATTCTAAGAGAAAAGACTCCTCTAACAGTGTCTTTGCAGACCCAAATTCCGAAAACAACGACGAGGAAAAGGAAGACCTGTGTCCCGGTTTTAAAGACGCGGATGCTTTTGTTAAAGTGAGTGAACTAAGCACGCTGCACGCGCAGTTTGTGAGTCCAGGCTAGCAGTCAGGTGGGCAACGTGGGTCTGCTTTAGTGCCTACGAGCTGTAGTCAAATTAGTTAGGCTTGGTGAGAAAAGATGCACAGGTATCTGTTGACACAAGCTTTTAATATTATAATTAACTAGTGAGGTAATGGTCGAAGTTGCAATAGTTTTCAACAAAAAAAATATGCCTCTCTAGGTGAATGTGTTCATGTTAATATTCATTTATTTAAAGAAATTAACAGTCGATAAATACTTTCGCTAATTGTTCATTTTGGGACCAATTTGAGCTATGGGCGATTTAACTTAGCTAACTAAAGATAGCTCTTTAATTGGGAAAAGGTAATACATATCCACATTTAGAAAAGCTGTCACCAGCATATAGTTGTGTAGATAGGTATAGCTAACACATTACATTATAAATAACGTTTTCGCTATATTTTCAGTCATTCCACTAGTTTAATAAAAAATTACCGTTTAAACTCTGCATGTATGTAAGTTCAAATATGCCAAGTTTCACTGTTTAGAAATAACTTTGTTGTGAAAACCCTAATCTTGCATTAAAAGATCATACACATTGTTCATTTAATTGTTTCCTTTCCCTATGTTTTTGATCATACTATGTTTTGGTATGGACTAACAGCTGATCCTCTCTCTGTAGTATGGATTGGGTGCGGTGTTATCTGCCACCAAGGCATCCGCCAGCTTGCCTCAGACTGGAGATGAATATGATTTCTATCGGAGCTTCCCGGGCTTCCAGGAGTTCTGTGAAAGACAAGGAGATAAGCTCCTGCAGGGGTGAGTTCAATTATGTCGTCGCTTCCTTTTGAGTTTTGGCTCAGTCAGGCACCTGCTCCCCCTCTCTTTCACCCATTCACCTGACACATTCAAGAATATGCTGCTCTTTGTCAGGAGTTGTGGACACAAGTATGCCTGATCCTTAAAGGTCACCTATTATGCAAAATCCACTTTTTCATGTCTTTGATACAGAAATATGTGTCCCCTCTGTGTAAAGAGATTCTGAAAGTTTCAGGAAAAAAAGATTTGCTCTCTTTTTCTCCTGATCCGTTTGTATAAAAACATCTGAAAATGATTTGATCAGATGTTGGCCACTTTATGATGTCATAACGTTTTTTTGGGTTGTGTAACCATTAGCCAATAACCAACCAAGGTAACCCCACCCCCCTTATCAATTGAGACCCCGTCCACACGGAGACGAAAACTCACCGAATTCAACTCAATACACGGAATCGGCTCAATAAACGTGTCCGTCTACTAGGGCTGTACCCGAATATTCGTTCGTTGGAGTACTATTCAGGTTTCAATTTTGTTATTCGTTGTGTTTTGTTTTTTCGTCTTTTTCCCGGTTTTTTTTCTAATTTATTGAAATCTCCAATATCAACGTAAGAGCTTGTTCCTCTTCGGGGGTGCTAACACTTAACCATAAACGTTATCGTATCGCGCAATGACTCACGGGACGTTACGCATTCCACATTTAGGCTGCACCTGCGTACCAGTTATGTGCACCCCTGATAATAGGGGACCTTTAAGGCTATTGTATACTTTCTGGATCTGTGTGTCCTTAAAGGTCCTTATTACAAATTCCCGTTATTTGTTCCACACTCAAATCCAGTTGGTGGCCGATTCACCTGTAGCTGGCAAGAAAAAAAGAATACAAACTAAAGACTTGTTTAGAAGAGAGGTGGTGTGGGGAGATTTTCTGTTACAGCCATTACTAATAGGGATGCTCCGATCGATCGGTCACCGATCGAGATCGGCCGATACTCACTCTCTACCGATCGATCGGTGCTCTCTAAACATGCCGATCGCGAGAGCCGATCGCATGACGTAAAATACATGACACTTTTCTCTGTGTGCGGCAAAACAAGTTCGCCAAAATGGTTTCACCGGTCTGGCATTATTTTAAGGTGTCCGAAAAAGACAGTAAAATAGCGGTATGCAACGTGTGTGAAGCAGAAGTCCTGCAGCTCCGCCCACCGGACCGGTAAGCGGAACGAAACACACGAGTTAGACCTAACACACTTAGCTATTTTATCTACCTCTGGAACAAGCTAAACTAGTCATTATAAATATATGTATTCTTCACTGTCGGGTCATTCATTACTGGATCAGTGAGCTGCGTGAGATACTGACAGGCTGTCAGGAGAGAGAGAGAGAGAGGAAAAGAGAGCGCTTCCGCTCATTTCTCCCGTGTATATTATCCAAAGTGAATGTAAACTTGAATAATGTACATCATTTGAATGTAATAATTAAGTTGATTGTTGTTTGTGGAAGCTCCAGTGAATGAGCCCCATTAACTGAGTTTTAAACATCACTTTAAATGGAAGATTTAAAGTGATATTTAAATCTTCCATTTAGGCCCCGCCCACTCGATCGGATCGGTGATCGGTATCGGCCGATACTGATTCCGGCGATCGGCCCCGAAATTGGCGATCGGAGCATCCCTAATTACTAATTTGTATACAATTTGGTTTTTAAAGGTATACAAAGACAGCCGAGTGGTGTAAAACCACTGTTAAACAACGTATGGATGCCAAAATGATGTACCAACCTTAAGACACACAAAGGATTTGATTGCTACTCGCTGTTTCTTAATAAGAAATGTTTCACTTTGTCCCCATGTCAGCATGAGTCAGATAATGCAGCACCATGGCTGCAGATCTCACATGAGGGACAGGAACAAGCTGACAGGGCTGGAGGAGAGGTTCGACTTGGTCGTGGACTCGAACGACGTCATCCTCGAAAGAGTGGTATGATCCTCCTTCAGTTTTGATGTTGTACACATTTTTTCATGGAAAAGTCTTTGCAACTAACTGAGCTCTTGTATCTGCTTTTCAGGGGATTCTTCTTGATGAAGCTGATGGGGTGAACAGGAGCCAGCAGCCTGTCCTGCCCGCAGGCTTTCAGGCTCCCAAGATTGTTGTTTCCAGCTGGAATCGCAAGGTTGGCCAATTAACTTCTCGGCTCTTATGCTTGCAGATGCCAGTTTGTTTGGGTTGCCTTCAAGCCTTAATGCTTTGTGCCAGCCCTAGCATTCAAGCATTTAAAGAAAGTTTTTTTTAACACTCCCACCCCCACCCATTTTGTAAACAATGCCTTTTATTGATCAGGGTTCAGGCTCCGGCAGTCGTTCTGAGACGTTCCGTCTGCTCCATGCCAAGAATATTGTGAGGCCTCAGCTGAAATTCAGGGAAAAAGTCGACAACAGCAACACACCATTTGTTCCCAAGATCTTCATCAAGCCCAATGCAGTAAAGCCTCTTCCCTCCTGTAAGAAACTTTTCACGCTCATATTATTCCCCATCTTGTGTTTTCATAAACTCATTAACATTTATAACACATGTGCTCTCTTACTCCCCAATCGTAGATTTCACCAACAAACAAATCCGTAAAGAGCGACCTGAGGACCTTGATGTCCCGGCTGCCCTGGCTGACTTCATTCACCAGCAGAGAACTCAGGAACATGTTGAA